CATTTGTTGTTTGTTGCTTTGTCTATTATAGCCATCCTGACTGGTGTAAAGTGGTATCTCATTGTCTAGGAAAAACATTTTTAAAAAAGAAAACAGAATTTTTTAAAATTTTATTTAAATTCTTTTTTTAAAAATATTTTATTTATTTATCTTTAGAGGGAAAGGGAAGGAGAAGAGGGAGAGAAACATCAATGTATGGTTGCCTTTTGTGCATCCCCTGCTGGGAACTGGCCTGCAGGGAACCGGCCTGCAACCCAGGAATGTGCCCTGACTGGGAATCGAACCACGATTGTCTGGTTCGCAGGCCGCGCTCAATCCACTGAGCTACACCAGCCAGGGCAAGAAAACAGAATTTTAAAAAAATTGTAAAAGTTCTTATCACCAGAAAAATATATATAACTATGTGTGGTGATGAATGTTAATTAGATTTATTTTAATAATCATTTAATACATACAAATATTGAATCATTATGTCATACACCTAAAAGTAATATAATGTTGTATGTCAATTATACCTCAATTTTAAAAAATGATTATATATGTATATATATATACATATATATACATATATAGCCAAAAGTTGATTCTTTGAAAAGATAAATATATTTTATAAACATCTAGCAAGACCGATTTTAAAAAGAAAACATGGATTGTTAATATCAGAAATGAATAAAAAGGTAATTATTACTACAGATTCTATAGATAATATATAAATAATGAAGCTATGCATTGAGTAACTTTATTCTAATAACTGTTACAATTTGGATGGAATGGGTAAAGTCCTCAAAAAAAAAAAAACCCTGAAGTTTAGTAAAAGTAAGAGAAGAATACATGAAAAAGTGAAATATTCTGATACTCAAAAGAAAACTGAATTTCAGCTTCCAGCTCCTTGCTGGATCATTAGTCTCACTGTGCAGACACAGTATAGGAGTCAGATAAAGATTGAAGAGGAATTTGGGGGTAGATTTGGGGCTCCCTAGTCTGTGGATCCCTTCTTTCCCCAACTTTTCCTTCTCAATTTCCAGCTGCTCCAGCAGCTTTGAATCCTGATCACTGACTTAGTTCTCAACTCAGTAAGCCTAAGACTCATTCTTGGGTGGACTCGTGCCTCATGTTCCTCCATGAATTGGGAGGAGCTTTCAGGGATCTTACAGTCCAATTCCTCCTTTCAAATAACATGACCCTCTGGATTCTGCCTGCTGTGCTGGCTCTCTGCTCCCCCAAAATAGTTGGAGTTATTGTTTGTTTGATTGTTTGTTTGTTTGTTTTTGTAGATTATATAACTTTAAAAAATATTTCAAACTTCCAGAAGAGTTGCAAGAAAAATACAAAAAACTATATATTTCATAAAGCTTCATCAATTGTTAATGCATTTCCATAAATGTTTTCACAGATGGATGTATAGTATGTGTAGATCTAGATATGGATATATATTTTAATGGATTTTATTTCTTTAAAGAGCTTAAGATCTACAAAAAACTTAATGATGCAGTACAGAGGGTTCCATTATATCCATTCCTGATGTAGACACTGGCCTGCAGTGTCGTGGCATTGTGGATGAGATGAGACAAATTCACACAGACTACCAAAGTCCTGTGGAGGAAAAGGGATGGCACAGACACTCTCTCAAGGGGAGAGCACCTCAGAGTACCTTTGCCACTCTCTCAAGAGCAGGGCACCCAGACCCTTGCCCTGACAAGGTTTTATTGGCTTTTTAATAGTATACATCAAAGAAGGTTTTCATTCATTATACTTAGGTTTGCTTTAGGTAATTAGATATGGAAATTCCAATGGAAAGGATGTTACTGCTTACTTCTTACAGATTAACAAGGAAAAATGGTGCAATTGCAGGGGAATGATAAGAGTAATTGGTGTGTTTACACTTCAATCCTGGGGAGAATTAGCACAGACTTCAGGAAGTTACTTTAAAGATATTCAGTAAGCATTTGTTGCCTCCACTCAGGGTGAGGGAGTTTTAGCAACGGCAAGGCTTAAAGCAGCCTAGGTATAATGCAGGCCTGGTTTCCCACAGGAGAACCAATCCATGGGTTTGGTGTCCTGTGTGCCACCACGCACTTACGGGCTTTCCCATAGGCCTGAGCTACATTTGCCATTCCACACTAATAGGTTTCCTATACATACCCAGTTTCATTATTATTAATATGAGAATATGTGGTTATAATTAATGAACCAATGTTGATACATTTTTATTAACTAAAGTCCATGCTTTTTTCATATTTCCTTAGCTTTTACCTAATGTCCTTTATCTGTTCCAGAATCTCATCCAGGGCACTACATTATATCAGTTGTCATGCCATATTACATATAGTCATCATGTGCCCTAAGCTCCTTTTGGCTGTGACAGTTTCTCAGACTTTCCTTGTTTTCGATGACCTTGACAGTTTTAACAGTTTGGGTTAGGTATTTTGTAAAATTCCCCTCTACTGAAATCTGTTTGATGTTTTCTATACTGGGATTATAGGGTTCTGAGAGGAAGACCACAAAGATTAAGTGCTATTCTCATCATATCACATCAAGGGTAGGTACTACCAATATGAATAATCACTGCTGATGTTGACCTTGATCACCTGGCTGAGTTTGTGTTTGTCAGATTTCTCTGCTGTACAGCCACTCTTTTTCCCCACTTCTCATACTGTCCTCTTTAGAAGGAAGTTTCTATGTATAGTCCACCCTTAAGAAGTAAAGAGTGATGCTCACCCTCATTGAGAGTATTTACATAAATAACTTGAAATTCTAATACATGGGAGATTTGTCTCTTCTCCTAGTTGGAATTTTTATATATTTCATTCAGAATTATCACTGTTATCAGTCAGAGGGTTATTCCAAACAAACTATTCCACCATTAACTAAACTGGATCTTCCCATATCTAACATTCATTGGACACTTATCATATACCATGCACTATGCTAAACATCTTTTGTGTATCTTGTTTCGTTTAGTCCTTGCAATAATCTTGCACAATGAACATCATCATACCCCTTTCATGGATAAAGAGATTGAGACTCAGTTACTCTACTGAACCACATTATATTACTGTGTATGCCTTGCACACTATACTCTAAAAATCGGTCAAGTTCCTTACATTCTTTGTCCACCCAGGTTTGTGAGGCTAGGTGAGGCCTGCTCTGAATCCCCTCCTTAACGCATTTCTCAGCCCTTCTCAAAGGTTTCCTATCCTCCCTTTCCTGCTATGTCTGGTTGTGTAGTAACTGGGTTCTCACATCAGTTTGCCTCAGAGCCCGCCCCAGAATTCTGTTCCACAATTTTCCATGGATGCCTGAACTCTCGGGCCCAGATGGCAAGAACCTGGCCATTATAGCAGTCCCAGGGGAGAAGGGGTCACAATACAATGCCTCTGCCCACACAAAAAATGCCTTCCTCAACTAAGGACAAAACAACACCTCACAGCTATGAAGACCTGAGAGGTCTAGAAGTCTGTTTCACACTCTGAACAAAATCCCCCACCCAGGTGTTAAAAGGTGAGAGAGATGAGGGAGGGAGTTGAAGACTCAAAAGTCAGTATGGTTGGAAAAGAAACCAAACAAGACAATTTCTAGGTGGTTAACCCACCTGCCCCCACCACAGCCCAGTACCACTGAATGGTAAGGCTCAGTCAACTATAGAGAGTTCAGCTACTCAACACTCACAGTTTTGCCCTCCTCACCCCTACCCCTAGCTAGGCCTCTTATTGGAAACCATAGAGGGGTAAAAACAGGGTTGGGAGCAAAATTTCATTTGATTTTTACAAAGGCCCTGGAAGGATGGCAAGACAGGGATTTATATCCTCACATTATCACAGAAACTGAGTCTTGGAGATATAAAATGATTTGCCAAATACAATAGAGTGAACTGGCAAATTGCCTAACTCCACCCTGGTCTTTTTACACAAATAGTTCAATGAGAAAAAAGAGGATCACTGCCATTATTAAAAAAATAAACAAACAAACAAGTAGAGGTGCTTAATGATAGTGGCCAATAAACAAAGTTATAGATGAAAACTGTTGGTCAAATAAGTACTCCACAAACTTGGGGGGTCATTCAGGAAGACTAAAACTGTTCATGTTTATCAACAAAGGTTCTCTGTAGATAGTGTTGAATATCTGCAGAAGGAGGGAAGAAGCGGGCAGGAGGAAGATCAGATGAGCCCACACTTCCAGGGCATGCAACTCCTCTCTCTGACTGCCACCTCCTAGAGCTCCATGCTTGCTGTGGACCCCTGTGCAGGAAGCACTCGGTGGCATGTGTCCTGGAAACCCATTTGGATCAAGCAGTGCAGGCAGCAGACCTAGAGCTGGAGTCCCAACAGTGGAAACAACCAACCCATGTCTGCTCCTAGTCACACAAGTCTCTGAGGGTTGTCAGCATCTGGCCTACTGCCTAGCACACAGTGGGGCCACGTGAAATGTTTGTTGACTTGAGTTGGGTGCTCCTGAAAGGTACTAAGGCACAGAGAGGTGACATCATTCTCCCAAGATCACAGAGCCATTAAGTACTAGAAGTTGACAGACTATTCAGCACTTAAACCCTAGTGCTTTCCTCTCCACCCTACAGTCTCTTGTCTCAAGAACCAGAATAATGTCATCGTCTCATCCTGTTTCCAGTGATTCGCAACACAATGTCTGCCACACAACAGGCAGACAAAAGGGTTTTTTGACCAAAGCTTAGAAGTCTGTCCCTAACACCAAGCTTGGGGCCTTTCCTTGCTAAAACACATGTCAAATAGGGCAGGAAGTTAAAGAATTGTGCCTGAGGGGAAAACAAAAAGGAAGTCCCTGGGTACCAAGCAGTGGCCACAGGCTGGGACTGTTATAAATGGTGGAGTGCACACACACCATATTGACCCCTACACAATTCCTGAAACCCAGATGCCTCTCCCTGTGGGCCTCACCTCAAGCTCAGCACATCCTACCAGTGCTGGTCATGCCCCAGTCTGCCATCTTGTCCCTCTGCCTGAAATACTCTTCCCTCTCCTTCTTACCTGGTTCCTTCAGATTTCATTTCAAGCAGCACCTCTTCATGGAAGGTTTCTTGGGCCTGTGACACCAAGTCAAGTCCAAATTATGGACTCTCACAGCAGTTAGACAGTTGCAATTTTCATTTTCTTTGGGTGATTATTTGATTAACATACATCTCCCCTTCTAAACTGTAAGCTCCAGAAAGGCTCTGCCTTGCACACACACTGCCTTGCACAGTGTATTCCCAGCGTCTGGTAAACGTCCAATAAACATGTTGAATAAAGGACTGATTGAATAAATATAGAAATGAATGTTGAGAAATTATCTTCCTCTATGGCAGGATGAAAATGGCTTCCCAGAAGATGTTTATGTCTAAATCTTTAGAACCTGTGGATGATACTATGATTAAATTAAGGATCTTGAGGTGGGAGATTATTATGAATTATCACAGTGACTCTTAAATGCAATCACATTTAGGCTCTTAAGAAATGTTTGTTATCAAAAAGAGACAGAGGGAGATGTGACACACACACAGGAAAAGGCAACAGATAGAGACAGAGACTGGAGTGATACAGCCACAAGTCAAGGAATCTGGCAGCCACCAGAAGCCAGAAGAGGTGGGAAGGATTCTCCTCTACAGCCTCCAGAGGGAATGTGGCCCTTTCAGCCCCCTGATTTCAGCCTAGGGAAACCAATTTCAGATCTCGAGCCTCCAGAATTGTGAGAGAATAAATTTCTGTTGTTTTAAGCCCAGCCAGTTTATGGTAATTTGTTACAGCAGCAGCACCCTCACTCCCCTGGTCACCAACTGATATACCGTCCAGCCTTGACCTTCCTTCTCACTTCTAACTCCAACCTTCCTCTCATCAATCTCCATGAGGAAACACTTAAGATTTGGAGGAGGGAGAAGAATCACAAAAGGGAAAAAGGAAGAGGAGAATCAAGAAAAAGAGAGGAAAGGTGAGGGTGAAAGGCTAGAGTATGAGTATGTAGGGGAAGTGTATTTCACTCAGATGTGGGAAGCAGGCCAAACCTGCAGGAAAAACCCCATGTTCAGTCTGCCCCCATCTCTCTCACAGTGAATAGTTTTGGGAGGATATGAGAAACAGGCTGAGAGTTCTCAAGACCTCTGTCTTTCAGCCCTGGAACACTTCCCTCCCCATGGAAGAGCCAACCTATAACCAGGTGAGCCTCATTCACTGTCCTCTAGTCCCATACTGGTCTTGTCATTTCCAAGCATAACAGGCATACTCTCACCCCAGGAGCCAGAGAAATATCTCATTTTGAGGTTTAACAAGGACCATTTAATGGGATCGATGGGTGGGCAAGCATCTCATATTCACATGGAAACCCTTCTGTTAATTTATAAATATAGATGCAAGTAGTGAACACTTACAAGAATTTCATGAGCCTCAGAGCATTTGCTTACTTCAGCTTTCTGAAATTAGGTTTAGAACTTCTATAATCTATAACATTAAACATGAATCACCTATTTGGAACTTATACTATGCATCAAAGTGTTGATAACATTGTATGTATTTATGAAGATTTGTTATTTAGTCAAATAATTTTTATGTGTTAAAAATTTATTTACCAAGTAAAAGTTTTTAGAAGTATAAAAATAACCCCACAGACACAAGAACTCTAAAAAGCTGCAAAGAAATGCTAATTTTCCTTTCATGGGTCCTGAGAATTTTCTAGTTGGGTTCCTTGGTGTCCCGAGAAGAGGGGCTTGGGTAGGAGAGGAGGGCAGAAAGGATGTTACTGGTTACCAGAGAGACTAGCAGGACCTCCCTGCATGAGCTACCCAAATATTGGCTTGTGAAAAGAGTTTGGAAGAAGGCTCGAAGAGCATCAACCAACTTGTTTTCATGTCCCCAAAGGTCAGATGGCCACAGAATGAGTCTGAGTGTGAGGTGTTAACCTGCCATCATCTGAATGAGCTCTTCCTCTCTGACTTTCGTTTTCTTGTAAATTATAAGAACTACAACTGCACCCTAGACTGGAGAGCTTCCCTCTTCCATGCCCCCTCCCACCCCTGCCCCATGCACTGAGCGTGTGCACACTCACCACCCCCAGCTGTTCTGGGAAAAGTGCTGAAACAGAAGCAAGGGGTCAGAGGGGTTGACATTCATGCAAAGATTCCAGGATTCAACGGGGACTTCAAGATCTCCTAGAGCCATAAGAGACATGGAGAAGAGGTTTCAAGTAGTAGCCAAAACACGCTTGGTCTGGCAGTGAACAGAAAGGAAAATCAATCCATTAAAAATAATAGTAATAATAACAATTGTACTAATACTCCCCTTGCATGTGTATTATACCTTAGCGTTTATAAAGCAGATTATATCTAAGCTGTTCCTTTTGATATCAGATCAAAGTTATTTATTACAGGTCTAAATCCCCTGAAAATACATGCACTGAAAAAGGTCAGTGTCTGACTAATTTTTGTACCCACAGTGCCTGAACATAGGTACTTAACAAATGTTTACTTACATTCATCTTCAACAACCCCAATAGGTTGGAAGAAAAGATGTCATCCTCATTTTGCAGCTAAGAAATCTGAGACCTGGGGAATTGTGACTTGCTCAAAGTCACAAATGACAACTGACAACCTGAGGCTTAAATCCCAATCTCAGGTTTTCCCATCCAGCACTCTCACTGCTGCAAGAGGTATGGTGGAAAATAGATCTTTAAACACTTAAAGCTAAAAAAGCTGTGATTCAAGGGATTAAAGCAATTTCTGCATCCCAGAGTAATAATTAGCATGTGTCTTCAGGTGGAAGCCTTTCTCTGTCCTTATGAACTTTCTTAGTCATGTCAATATAAGTAAGTTCATGTCTCTATCATTTTGGACAATGCCCTGGGCATCAGCAGTGTACCCAAGGCAGGTGCCCTGAACTGAGGTTTTATTTGGCAATGCCAACTGAATATTTTCTTAGCAGAACTCACAGCCCTGAGAAATTAGAGAAACAAGTTTTCCCCAAGGCTGAATTTAGGCCCATCCCACACCTGAAAACCATCATTCTTTGTCCAGCTATTGCTGACAGAAGATCAGGAGCCCAGACAGGGGCAAGAGAAGCAGGTGGACCTGGTCTTTTTTTCTCTATGGATGAACAATTGTAGCAAGGCCCTGGACTGGGCCACACAACTCCAGTCCCACCTGCACCATTTCCTAGGCCTACCAAAGCCTGAAGGAGATATACCAGCAACTAGCCCCATGTGGGCCACCTAAGCTAGACTATATCTTAGAGGTGGCACTAGGAATTTCCCTTGAGGGATATTCATATTCCTGCTGTAAATCACCTCAAAAGAAAAATAATAGTAAGTGGACTTAAAACAGGAAAAGGAGGGCCCCTCCTCTCTCTGGGGACAAAAAAAGTCATTCAGAGACCTGGAGATTTTCAAATATAGAAAGTTAGCTGGTCTCTCCCTACTACATAACTGCCAGAAACTAAGGAAAGTTTTCAGAATCGTACTGACCTGGGGCAAGTACCAAGTGGCTATTTCTTGAAGTAGTTTTAAATTGTCTCTTTGGTACTTTGTTATTCACAAGCCTCCAGCAGCATTTAAAAATCTTATGGGCTCTATGACCACACTTGAAGTGACCAGCTACAACCCAGAGGCAACCATCACAAGACACTAAGAGGTGAACTATGAGATTGCCACGATGGCTTTGGGCATGTGAGGATTCCCTGACAACCCCCCAAGTTACCCAGGAATGGAAACACAAGAGCAGATGGACTTCCTGCATTTGTGGGATGGGGACTCAGACTGCTGTTAAGTTTAGAATTAAAAGGAGATGACATCCCTAAATACTGGAAAAGTCAAAGTCATCTGGACTAGAGAGGAAAGACACAACTGTTTCTTGAAATGACATGGGATTTTTTTTATCAATGTTCTGTTCTTAACCTCTTGCATCCCAAGCTCATAAAGCAATGACAATGGACTAGGTCTTCACCCTTCCTGACAAGGTTGTCCTGGGGCAGGGCTCAGAACAGCATATGACTTGGAGAGAGAAGCCAGGTGAATGCAGACAAGTAAACAACCTGAGAAGAGGACATTGTGAGGCCTTCCTGCTGAATACTTCTACTAACTACACCCTCTCTCATTTGGGAAGCCTTTATCTGTTGTTCTGACACTTTGGCATCTGGCCTTACAACAGCCTGGGAAGGTTATAATTATCTGATCTTGTCAATAGCTAACAGAGGTACAGGGACTGGCCCAAGGGCACACAGCTGGCTGTGGCCAAGCTGGGGCTAGAACTAGGTCTCTTGTTTCGAAGAACCACAGGCTCCTCCCAGCAGCCCTGTGAACCATGACACTGACCAAGAATAAAGTGAAGGCCCAGGCAGACTGCAGGTGTGAGAAGGCTGTTAGCTCCAGCTCTGCTGATTCAAGAAATTAACAGGGGAGGTCCCTCACCTTGGAAATCAGTATTTATCCTCATTTTATCTAGGCCAAAATAATCTTAGGACTGTATAAATGTAATTACTCCTTAACTGTTAAGGAGTTGAAATTACATTCTGCCCTTTGAAGGCAACCACGAGGCTGATGTGGCCCCCGGTGAAAATGAGTTTGACACCCCTGCTCTAGGCTGACAGGTATGGCACCCTCACACAGTCTTCATAGTTCCACAAGCTTAGCTGCTGTGGTGGGTCAGGCAAAAAGAGAACTTCAATCAGGAGTACAAGGTTTGGATTCAGCCACTAACTAGCCAAGCCACTCTAGCTAGTCACCTCCACATTCCAGGTTTTCTCTTTATTTAAAATGAAAATCTGCCATGTCCCTCTCCTTCAAGGATGCCTGTCACCCACCCAGCTAAAAATTAAACTCCCTTGAGCCTGAGTCACCCTCTAAACAGTAAAGAGGGACATTCAGAAGGGATTCTGTCCCTTCTGAGCTCTTCATATGCAGTCAGGAGGGAGTCAGGCAGACGGCAGACAATAATTAGGTTCTGTAACAACAATGAGCAGGCTCCTCCTAGAGCTGGAGCTGGTCCTTGGTGACCTGTTCATCTTATACCTGTGATTCTCCTCAACCCAATGACTACCAAGTGTCCCCAGGCAGCTTCCTTCTCTATGTCTCCTCCTGGAGGTCAGTTCTATCTAGGGCTCTCTCCCTGTTACGTGTAGCTCTGACACAATGACCACAAGGTCTGGGACTTCCCTAATCACCAGCACAGGGACAGAAACTGCAAGTTGTGCTTATTATCACACTTGAGCATAGACTTTCTACCCACTCAGATGCCCACCCTGTCCCCCTGTTTAGAAGCATCATCTTGAAGACAGAGATGAAGTGAAAATGAGACAGTGGAACCATCTAGACCTCAAACTTTGCCCTAAAAATTTCCCAATGTGGCCATAGGAGCAAGATGTGTGTCTACTCAGCTTCAGCTCTGTCCACGGGTTCCCTGGAGCTCACCACACTCTCTTTGCCAATGATACTCAGCCCTAAGCTGTTCCTCCTCCCCCACCCTCACTCTTTCTCTCTGTCAACTCACTAGACATTTGTCTTTTCCAAGAACTCTTTCAACATGGGAAAGGGCACCGATGATGTGCTGATGAAAGCACGAGCCTGGAGTCAAACAGACCTGGGCTGTCATTTTAACTCTGCCACTCACTGGCTGAGTGATGCAGACAAGTGACAACATATGTAAAACTAACTTCCCATCTGTAAAACACTGATAATGATGCCAATCTTGCAGGGTGGTAATAAGAATTAAGTGAAACAATGTTTGTGCATTAATCGGGGTAGTTAGCACTAGCTGCTATAACAAAAATTCCAGAATCTAGATACAACAATAGTTCACTCTTCACTCAAATCACAGGCTGACATACCTTAATTCTTCCCTCCAAGAGATGATTTGGGCACCCAAGGTCTATTCATTTCCTTTGAGTACTGTACCGGCTGGGCCCTTTCCACCTGGCAGACAGAAGAGCAAAGATAGACACCAGGCCAGGAAGTGGCACCCATCAATTCAACTTCATGTTGGTTAAACTCCAGTAACTTATTTCACATAATTGCAAGGGAAGCTGGGAAATATAGTTGTCTTTAGTACCCAGGAAGAGGAAATGAGATTGCTAAGCATCTAGCCAGTCTTTCTTCTACAATATGGTAAGCATTTAACATAGTGCCTGATACATAGTAAGAGCTCAGTAAACAAAAAATACCATTATAGTTATTTTCTATTATCTGTCCCAATACTGGTATGACTACTGGAAATCACAGAACAGTAGGGTAGACTGTTTGGAACTCTGAGAATGAATAACTGAATACAAATCAAAATGGAATTGAAAAAACAAGCTACAGTAATATATCTAACATAACTCCTGTTCCAGGTGCTTGGTCTCTATGAGACTGCAGGATACACTGGAATAGCCTACGCTCAAATGTCAGCTCTGCCCTGAGCAAAATATTAACTTATGTCAGCCATGGAATTTTTCTCATCTTAAAACAGGAATGCTAACTTACCCACTTCACAGCATTCTTCAGAAATACTGTATTCCCTATCTATAAGTATATACTTTCCTCTATTTGGAACACCTTCTTTGTCTGCTCTTCACCCCATTACCTCCTTCAGCTTGTATGTCACCTCCTCCAGGAAGCCTTCTCTATCCTCCACCCACATTAGCCTGTACTTCCCTTCCCAGACCACTCAACACATTAAAATCTATGTTTACTTTCTGTCTTTAGCAAACTTGTTAATTTCTTGGTAGAAGGGACCTTGCTTTGATCACCACTTTATCCCAGCCACAGTACAAAGTACAGCTCATAATAAGTGTGCCATAATATTTGTCGTCTGAATGAGTTAAGAATCCTGACCTTTTTTCAAAATGATGAGTTAAGACTTTTAAACTCATAGCTCAACAAAAAAACTAGAAGTAAAGGTAAGTTCAGAAAGAAATAGCACAGTGTACAAAAAGTCATGGGGAACTAGAAAGTCATTCCAGAAAGCAGCCACACCCTGTGGGTCATGCCTGGGTACTTCTGAGCAGTTGGCCACCCTTAATCTCTCAGTTGAGCAACAAAGGGTGCAAAAACATTCTCACACATTAAAAACCCTGGGCTCTTCCTCCAAGATGATGTGATGGCCTGGCAATAAGAGCTGTCTGCTTAGGGGGGTTGGCCTGATGGACCATATGCTGTTCACTCTCCATGTAGCTGGGGCATCACTGGCCTTCATGACCATCATCAATAAATGCAGTCTTTCTAGTCCCAAAGTGGACCCTCGGACCAGACGCAGGATGGAATACCTCCACCCCAATATGCAAACATGGTCTGAAGCATATGTCACCATTCGACAAAAGTGGAAGGGACAATGTTTGTCTCCCATTCCTTCACATCTTTGGTGCACCTGAAGTTTCAGATGAGTCGAGCGACACAGAGATATAAGCGATGCTATTATCCAGCAGAAAAAGATAGCTCTATACAGGAGAGTTCAGGTAAGCAAGAGAAACCAAAAGCATCTAGGAGACATCATAAGCACCCCTCCAAAAAAATATTAAGTCAGGTAGAGGGCTGCCCACTTTAATGTCGCTCTACACCGAGGTACTAGGACAACACCAGGACTCATATACGTGAGTCCTCGAACATGTCCCTGAGAACCTGGGACACCGCTCCAATCCCCACCCTACTCATCTGGTGAAATTAGCTCTTAACAACCTCACCCCATCTCCTGCTTTCAAAGGGGCAAGGCTGTCCCCACCCATCTACACCCCAACACACACTCAGGCGCGCACGCACACCCTACTGGGCTACCCAGACTGCTTTTACAGGATCGCACCCAGCCCAGCGGATAGGGCCAGTTGGAGAGTCCGGCCGCAGTCCCGCCCCCGCCCGGGAAGGTAGTGCACTAGCAGTGCTACTGCATCCCCCAAGCCAACCGGGGAGGCTGGAGGCTGTGCACTGGCTCGGGGACTCAGCTGCCTCGAGGCCCCGCCCCGTTGACGTCAAACTACACGGGCCGTGGGTGGGGCTGCTGGCCGGAGTTTTCAGTCTCTGCCCGGCAGAGCTGCCACTGGAGGCTCGCAGCCCCGGCGTTGGCGTGGCCCAGGCCCCAGAGGATGCAGGGCGCCCAGGATGCTGCTGCGCCTACTAGTGTTGCAGGCCGCGCTGCTCAGCCTGCGCCTCGGCTCCGGAGCTCAAGGTAAGGAGGAGGTTCGGCCCCGCCCTGCCCAAGCTGCGCCCGTCCTGCTGGGTTGTGTGATGACCAGACCTCACTCCCATTGTCGTCACTTTTACAAGAAATTTCTGCGCCCCACGGAGACCCCGTCTGGCTGGCCCTCTGGAGAAAGGGGCATCCGTTACCTTCTCGCAATCTCTCTCATTCTGGCAGACCTGGGTCTCAGGCTCACCCTTTGGGGAAGCGGTACATTCTGAGATTCCTTGGAGGGTGTGTGTGGGGAACAGCGGGGGTGGGGTGGATAGAGAAGTTAAATTACTTTCTTCCCTAACTCCTCGTCCGCTGCCTCTGAGGAGTCATAAATTTATCTCTGGCTTTTTTGTTGTTCTACTTCAAATGATCGGCCTGCTATTCCTCTCGGGAATTACTTTGATCCCCCATCTGACCCTCCCTTCCCTTAGACCTCCAATTAACCTGTATCTGCCCTGTCCATCTCTCTCCCACCCCAGCTGTTTTCCTCCACTACACCTATCATCCCCATATGATCATCCCCGCTCCTTCTTTATCCCCTAAGGCACTCCCACTGCCATCTGCCTCCTTCCTGCCTGGTTCTACCCCTTACCTCAGTCTCCTAACTCAGCCAGCTGTGCCAGAAAGTTTCTGTAACTGAGAAGAGCAAACCCTGTAGAGAGAATGAAAGGGCAGGGAGGTGGAGAAACCAAGAACAAAAGCAGGGAGAGTAGGGACTGTAATCGCTTCTACATGTCAAAATACAAAGTAAAACCCATTCACATGATCAAGAGTTGAGTGGGGGATGTGCAGCCCAAACACCACAAAGACCTGCTGCATTTTTCACTTTCCATCTAATGTTTAGAAACTAAGGCACAGACTTGAAGATCAAAGACAATATAAGAAACAGAGCAAGAGACAGGCATACTTTCTAAATGAATATGACAGTCAGAAAAAAGAAACATTTTTAGAGAGATGATGAGAGGTTAGGGAACAAGGGGAGCCTTAGAGAGCTGATAACAGACAAGAGACATTGAGGGATCAAGGAGAGAAGAGGAAATGGGTGTGGATATCGCCTTGACTTATTTCATTGCTCTTGATAGGCAAAACTCTTAACATAGGTGTATTTGTTTTATTCTTACAAATGAGAAAAAAAGGTTCAGTGAGGTTAAATAGTTTGCCCAAGTCACACTGGCAAGTGCTAGTTTGAGACTCCTGAAGTTGTCATTTCCCAAAGTGAATGATATGTGTTGGGAGGGAAGGAGAGAAAGACGGGAACTAGTATTTAGTATCTCACCAGGGAGCCAAGGATGTTCACTCTTTGTGGAAAGAGCTGCTACATTCTGTCTGTTCTAACCCAGCTCAAGACTGGACATCTGACCAGGGGTAAAGCCCTTTTAGAAGCTGGGGAATGGGGCAAGCCCTCAACTTGGGGTTGTGCAGCAGACCTATGAAGAGAAACAGTCAGCTGCCAACAAGCAGTGTATCTGTGTGCCCAAAGAACTCCAAAGAGAAGGCCTTGGGCTGGAGCCAGGATAGGAACCAGGTGTAAGGATTGAGGGCAGGCCTTGGGATGGGGCTGGAGCAGGGACAGGTGGCAGAGCCAGACCACTTTTGTTTCTGATCACAAACTGCACAGGACACTGATTCAAGGACACATCTTTTCTGGAATCAAACACATTTGCATTCAAGGCCCTACTCTTCTTCCCCTCTACTAGCCCCATTGCCTTGAGCAAATCACTTAGCCTCTGTGAGCCTTCATTTCTTCTCAGTAAAGTTAGGGTAATAAATGCCTACCTTGCAGGGCTGTTGTGATAATTAAATGAGACCATATGTGTAGAGTATTAGCAGACCACTCAGCTCATAATAAAGTACTCAATAAATGAGAGCTGTTAAAATGCTTGCCGCCATCGCCATCACCATTTACATCCCTCGGGGTGGGCTCTGCTAGCTCTGATACTGACACTCTTCTTCCCAGGGACAGAATTACCCAGCCCTCCATCTGTGTGGTTTGAAGCAGAGTTTTTCCATCACATCCTCCACTGGGTGCCCATCCAGAATCAATCCGAAAGTACCTACTATGAAGTGGAGCTCCTGAGGTAAGGAAAAGGGAAGAAGAAGGGAGTAGGTGAGTCCATCCTCTTCTACTGCCCTGACACAGAAAGATACCTGCCTTGTTACTGAAGTACACCAGGAAGGACCCTGGTGTATCCATCATGTATCCATCATGTATCCATCATGCCTGGTGTATCCTGGCATGTATCCATCAGTTGACAGATACTGATTGAGTCTCATATGTGCTGGAGTGAAAAAGCCACAATATTGCCTTTACCATCAAGGTTTTTCTATCTTATTGGAAAAACAGGAAAAGTACCCATAATGTAGTTAGAAAACAAAGAAACTCTAGTGATTGCAAATGTAGTTGGGAGAAGGGACAGATTAGGCTGTGTTGCAGTGAGTAGCCAGTCTTTTTGAAGGAGTTGGTTTGAACTATTCGTATTTCAGTCTAAGAGTCTTTTAGACCACAGAGGAGTTGGTATAGGGTCCCAGAACCAAAGGGGATTCCCTTGCAATGAGATGCCCTGAACTAGAGGAAATACCCCGAGGGCTGTACCATCATGGCAACCCTCTTTCCTGGCCTCTAGCTTCCCTCTTAAAGGAGATAGGTTTGAATGAAAGTGTGAACCGATGCCTACCCTGCTTTTTCCCCAGGTATGGAATGGAGCCCTGGAAGTCCATCTCCAGCTGTAGCCAGACCCTGGTGCTGTCCTGTGATCTCACTATGGTGACCCTAGACCTGTACCACAACAATGGCTACCGAGCCAAAGTCCGGGCAGTGGATGGAAGAAAGCACTCCAACTGGACTATCACCAGGACCCGCTTCTCCATGGATGAAGGTGCTTTTTTCTCTCCTGAGCCTAGAACATGACTTTTGGAGTCCTTTCCAACCAGAAGCTTTAGTCCAGAACTGTTCTCCATGTTCCCATAGCTCACTATGTTAGCCTGGCTTCTTGACCAGGGACCTAGTTGCTCAAACAAACCTGAATCAGGATTTTGGAGAAGGTTTAGATGAAAATAGTCAAGTTGTTCAAGATTTAAAAGGGAACTGAAGTTGCTTATCCTACAGAAGAGAAGTCTTGGGGTGAGTTGGGGCAGCTGAGCCACAAGGGTCAGAACTATGTATTTAGAGAGTTCTGGAGAGGAAGCAAATTCATGAAGTACTCAACACAGGGAAGCAAACAGCAAGCAGAATTGGAGAAGATACCCCCACCACCCCACCCCATTAAGGATGGACCCTCGAGGGCCAGGGTTTGAGGTTTTGAAGTGGGGAGATACTACTGAGGAAAAGGTAGGAGTCTCTCTTTACAGAGATAGAAGAAAAGGATAAGTCTCAGCCTCAGTGGGGCTCTTCTATTCTGCAGATTGGGATCCACAGAGCTCTGTCCATGTGACAAGCCTGTACTGTAGAATTCAGAGTCAGAACTGATGGTCTAGGATGGTCTAGGTCAGTCGCCCTCAAATGCCTGTCTGAGGGCCAGTTCTCAACTAGAGGTGGAAACATTACCTGGGGAGTATGTTTACAATACTGGATATTTCCATGGCCCTGCTTCAAAAGTTCAGATTCACTGTCTTGAGTGGGCCCAGCATATCTGTATTTTTAATGTGTTCCCTAGGAAGTCCTAATGGTCTGCTAGTTTGGAAAACCTATTTTAGGGTACATAAAGCTTGATCCTAGAGGCCAGGCATGAGTGGGGGATCCAGGTCCTCCCCTGACCTGCAGGCCTCATGGTTTGCCTCCCTGTGCAGTGAATCTGACAGTTGGCAGTGTGAAGCTAGAGGCGCACAGTGGCCTCATCCTTGGACAGATCCAACCACCCAGGCCCAAGATGGCCCCTGAAGGTGACACATATGAAAGCATCTTCCCACACTTCCGCGAGTATGAGATTGCAATTCGCAAGGTGCCAGGACACAATAAGGTATGGGATTCCCAAGGCCATAGGTATTGGGATCTACCAACCCTCTCCTCTCTCATGCTGGCAGAGGAAGGTCATATGGGCATAGGGGCAGGGAAAGGAATTGAGATGACTTCAGACCTCAAATGGGTGCTCTTGCCAGGTAGCAGGGAAAATACCACCTACTAAGTGTCAGGCACCACAGGAGACATTTGTCACTACTGTCTCCTATCCTCTTGAAAGTGGGTATTTTATCCCATTGTATAAATGGGGAAATGAGGCTCCAGAGAGCTGTGTGATTGCCCAAAGACAGACACCCCATAAGTGGGAGGTCTCTGGAATCTGCGAAATTCAACCTCTTTCCCTTCCACCATAGCAGATTCCAGCCCCTTCTGGGAGGGTCCTCAGCATCAGTAAAACACTTCATTTTCTCTTTTAATACAAAATGAACTATGGTGATCACAGAGACCTTGGGCTGTGTTGATAATGCAGGGTTCGTTATCTTAAAAAAAGAATGCTGAAGGAGATTGACCTAGATCAGCTCTAACAGCCCCTCCAGCTCTCAGGCTCCATATGTCATGAAACAAGGGCATTTTGTTTATTGCTGTTGTTTTAATTTCAGCTCACAAAGAAGGTAAAACATGAAAACTTCAGCTTCCCAACCCCTGGCGAGGTGGGAGAGTTCTGTGTTCAGGTGAAACCGTCTGTGAGCGCCCGCACGAACAAAGGGATATGGTCCAAGGAGGCGTGCATTGTGGTCTCCCGGCAGTGTGAGTCAGTCAGGGCTGCAATTCAGACCACGTGGTGGGGCAGAAAGGGCCTTGCACAATCCAAAATGTTGCTGATGTCAGGCGCTGCGCTAGGCAGGCCCCAGACAGTTCTCCATCTCCATCCTCACAGAGCCGCGTGAGAGATCTCCTATTGTTCCCATTTTAGAAATGGGGAAACTGAAACTTAGTACATGTTAGGTGCATCTTAGGGCAGAGCCAGGTCTCCTGATCCTGCAATACTTCCACTTGAGCACAGCTATGCCTCCCAGAAACCCACAGGCCACCCCCAGTCAGCAGGGGTAGTTCCTGTTTATTCCAATCCCCTGCTGGCCTCTTTTAGATTTGAAGGCACAAAGGGCCTTCCCTACTTCTCTACACCTCAGAGGAAACAAAACTTAGCTGACTCCTCAACACAGCTGCTAAAGTCAATAAATACTATGCCAGTTTCTCAGCCTGCACAGGGAAGGGGAGGGAGGAAAGGATTTAGGATGTGAAGACCATGGTTCTGCTCTGAGGATCTTACTTGGGGACAGGGCATGCCCAGTGGAAGCTGTAATTAGCAACTCAGGAGAGCACATGTCAAGTGCACAGTGAATTATGCCAACAGTCAGTGCACTGAGGTTGCCCAGTCCAGTGTGCTCGGAATTCAGCAAAGGCCAAAGTGAGCACTTACCTTTTTACAGTACACTGCATTTCATTGAGGGCACTCATCAACTCATTGTCATTTAAACCTCTCTTCTATGTAAGCAGAGTAAGGCACCATCTGTTTGTCAGGCAGCCTTAAGAGCTTTTTCTATATTCACTCACTGGTGTAAGAAATAGCTTTGTGTAGAGGTCTGGGTTCAAATCCCTGCTTTCCCACTTATGAAGCATATGGCCTTGGGCAAGTTACTTAACCTCTCTGCACCTTGGGATCCTAATCTATAAAAATAAGGGTGAAAATAGTATTTCTCTCCTAAGGTTGTTATAATGATCAGATAACTTAAATAAAGGACTTGGTAGATGGTAAATGCTATCTACTTTACAACCATCTTATGTAGTGAGTACCATTATTTTTCCCATTTTATAGATGAGGGAACTGAGGCTCAGAGAAGCTGAGTAATCTGTTCACAGCCTCACAGTTAGTAAGTGGTGGGGCTGGGATTTGCACCCAGGTCTGGCTGCTAAACCCTCTGTTCTTACCTGCTATACCATCCTGACTCACTGCTCTGTGTTCAATGGGGTGAGTGCAGAGAGCCTGCAGCAGAGCCACTGTATCTAGTGAGAAAATCATTCAGGGCCAAGGTTGGGAGGCCAGGTAGGAATTCCAAAGAACCCAGACATGTCCAGAGTTGTGGTATAGAGGTAGCCTGGGGTGGTGGGGATCTCCTGGACCATTCACTGAGTAGCTTCTGAGAGTGGCTGTGGGATCCCTGAGGACTAACCCTCCATGGTCCACAGTACCTGACCACAAATGCTCTCTCTGGGCCTACAGATTTCACCGTGACCAATCTCAGCATCTTCTTCACCTTTGTCCTGCTGCTCTGTGGAGTCCTGGCCCTCCTATCCCTCCAGCTGTATGTGAGGCGCAGGGGAACACTGCCTGCTGTCCTGGTAAGTCTTAGGGCACTGCCCTGTCCTTCCCAGCCCCAGCAAGACTTCAGAAGGTGCTCAATTCTAGACTGTCCCTTCCCTCAGCCTGGATGTTATCAGGAAACAGCTTTATCAAGCATCATCAGGAGAAAGAGAGAACTTGACTGCAAAGCCCAATGCTGAGAATGTTGCCTTCTAGTGGCCCAGATAACATATGTACTGAGTAGTCCCAATCCCCTACATGTCATTTTTTTACTATTTAACTAATAATTGGCCATGGATCAGCCCCTGTGCATTACTATCTCATTTTATATATGAGGAAACTGCTGCATAGAAAGATTGTTACAGGCACAGGGTCATATGGCAGGGACAGTCAGGATGGAGCCCAGTCTTTCCCACTTCTAGGGGCTGGAAGAATGCTCTGGAAGAGGAAGGACAAAGGGCTGAAAGTGCTGGCCCTTGGGCTGTGTTCAGAGTGGTTCGATGCTGTAGAGGTTGGATGCTGCAGAGGAGGGGTTCATGAAGAAGGCTGGGGTATCTGAGCCATCCCCAAGTGTCTCCTGTCCTACACAGTGCTATATATGCTGCACTTAGAGTCAGCCAGCCTCCAAAACTGAACTTCCAGCACTAAGCAGCATTTCCAAACCTCAGCCTCTCTCTGGCCTGGGATTCAGGTTACCTGCCAGATCCCCCACAACCAGCTCATGGCTGGAAAGGGACAGTCCAGAGGGATGCCAAGGTCTTTGGGAAAAACAAGGACAGAGACAAATAACCTCTAAAATTATTTTGAATAAGAACTCCAGGAAGTGGAGAGGCAGGAAGAGAAGAGGGGTGGAACTGCCTGGTGTAATTAGGGTCTTTGTCCAGGCAAAAAAGAACTGTGTTCCTAGCTGCAGGGCCCTTGGTAGAGAGAGATGACAAGGAGACTGAGGCCAGGAAGCTCCCACAGCCTTCGGGACTTACAAAGTGCTTCTCCATGTCCAGCTGAAGTGTGTCCTTTTTCTGTGCTTCAGGAAGATTCATGGTCCACAAAGGTGTGCATCAGCCTGTTTGACAAGTGCTTCTAGCATATTCTATGTGCAGGGCCCAGGCTGGGATGGGCTGATATGGAGAAGAGTGCACCAGAGGGCAGGCTTTCAGGATGAATAACTAGAGAGCAGAAGGGTACAGGAGGAAGGCCCTGGTACACTGAATGTGTATTGTTAGGCACCAGGAAAACATCTAGGAAGAGTGCAAATGTGGTGCAGCCAAAAATGCCAAAAGAGATGACAGGCAACTTCTGCTTTCTTGTTCCTTCTGTGTATTTGGATCACAGAATTAAATTGTCCTTGGGAATTTCTTCCTCCTCAAGACAAATACAGCACAATTCCTACATCAAATGACCATGGTCGTTACTAACTGGGTGAATAACTTGTAGTGAACAGAGCACTTTCACATTCCTTAGCTTGTTCTCACTCAGTTGTGATCTGATCTGTCAACAATATACCAAGGTATTATTGGACAAGTGGACATTTCAGATCAGGACAGTTGCATATAAATTCCAGGTTTGTGCTTTACTGCTATGTGACTTTGGGCAAATCACTTAACTTCTCTGAAGTTTAATTTTCTCCTCTAGGAAGTAGAGATAATAGTGCTTCCTTAGAGAATTATTGGAGAATAAAATTAAATTTACCAAGTATTTATTGAGTGCTTTTTATATACCAAGCATTATTCTAAGCATGTTACATGCATTGACTGCAACATGAGGAAGCAAGTACTGTCATTATTTCCATTTTACAGGTGAGGGACTAAAGCACAGAGAGGGAAAATTAATTTGGCCCAAGTGACACAGCTGTTAAGAGGCTGTCCTGGGATCTGAACCCATGAAGTCTGGCTTCAGAATACACATTTTTAATTACCATCTATGTAATGTTAATAGGAATTCAACCACCAAGAGTTGCATTAGGCATCACATACAAAAGGAATGAGGGCAGATGTGCAATAGTGAGTCAGTAAATCAATCAACAAACTTTATGAATACCTACTACAAAGCTCAGTTTAAGCTCTGGGAACAAAGTGGCAAACAAGACTAGATAGTGGCTACCTATCAGGAGTTTGGTATCCTTTTGGGGGTAGGGAATACTTGTGTGTATGTGCGTGTTGGTGGACTGTGAGCTGGATGAAAAAAATTTTAAACATAATTTGAGAAACTAAGTTCTGGGTAGAAGTAAACTAGGTCAATGTGGCAAGAGTGTCTGGGTGATCAGGAGGGCCCCTCTGAGGAGGTGATATTCAAGCTGAGACCTGAAAGACACAACCATAGAAAGTACTAAGAGAAGAGTATTCCAACCAGAAAGAGTAGCATGTGCAAAGGCCCCGAGATAGCACCACACTGATGTGTTCCTGGGCAGAAAGAACACTACTGTGACTGGGGTGAAAGAGCTCACATTAAGGGCCCTGGAGTCCTCAGCAATTAACATCGTCCTCAGCTGCTAGTTCTATGTTTCTTCCCACACAATAGCCACCCTATGTTTGTGCAAGTCACAACTCAGAGAAGGAAGAAATGAATTTGGTGTTTTACATCATGCATTTTAAAAACAGAAGTGAATAGGATGGAGAATACAATACAATACAACACAATACAATACTATAGATCCCAGTACGCAGGTAGCAGTAAGTATTTCGTGAAACTGGTTTTAGTTATTTATATATGTTATATATTTATGGATTACTTACATACAGATTATTATGTAACACATTTTTTATTTGGGGTCATAGTCAAAAGTGTTTGAAATCTACTTTTAGATGAAGGTGGGTCCAGTCTGCTTTCAGGTTTGAAAGCACAGTCATTGAGAAGGCTCACCACTCCCAATCCTCTTGTCATTCCATCTGGGCTCCAAGAATGCAGGCTTCTTCTGTATCTAGTTCTGAGCTGAACTGAGTTTCATTTGAAGGAAAAATTCTGAAACACAATGAAAGGAACAAATAGCAGTGTCCTCCAGGCTCTATAGTCCCCTTCCTTGGGAGCACTATCTCCTGGAGGGCCCCACATTGGACTGACCAATGGCCTCCCCCTGGCAACACTGGGGTGGGTTCCTACAGGTAACCCTCTGCCTTACCCACTCTGCCCTCTCCTCTCCAGGTCTTTGAGAAGCCCGGTTCCTTCAACCTTATCGGTCAGCTGCCCAGTCCAGAGACCCAAGACACCATCCATCCCATCGATGAGGAGGCCTTCTCCAAGGTGTCCCTAGAGCTAAGGAACTCAGAGCTGCATGGCAGCACAGACAGTGGCTTTGGCAGTTCCAAGCCATCCTTGCAGACTGAAGAGCCCCAATTCCTTCTCCCTGCCCCTCACCCTGTGGCCAAGAGAACTCTGGGAAAGGGAGCCTCCTTGGAGCTGGAGAATAGCTGCAGTGGTGGCAGCAGCAATAGCACAGATAGTGGGATCTGCTTGCAGGAGCCCAACCTGAGTCTGAGCATGGTGCGCAGCTGGGAGCAGCAGGTGAGGAGTAATAGCCAGGGCCAGGATGACAGCGGCATTGGCCTTGTACAAAACTCTGAAGGGCAGCCTGGGGATGTACAAGAAGGCTCAGCCTCAGGCCAGGTCAGTCCTCTGGGGCCTGAGGTGACTAAGGAAGAAGACCCAGCTGTGGTGGCATTTCAGGGCTACCTAAAACAGACCAGAGGCACAGAGGAGAAGGCAGCAAAGGAAGGCTGCCTGGAAGAAGAGTCCTCAACAGATGGCTTTGACCCCCCAGTCAGGATGTGCCTGGATGCCGAGGAAGCCTGGCCTCCACCAGTCATGGCCAAGGGCTATTTGAAACAGGATCCCCCAGAAGTGACTCTCGTTCCCTCACAGGCCCCAACTGGACAGTGGAACCACCCAACTGAGGAGTGGTCACTCTTGGGCTTGACCAGCTGTGGTGACCTAGGAACATCTAATTGGAGCTTTGCCCATGGTCTTGCCCCTCTGGACTGTGTGGGAGCACCAGGCAGTCTTCTGGGTAGCGTTGACTCAGACCTGGTCACCATGCCACTGATTGCCACTCTGCATTCCAATGAGTGACTCAGGCTAAGGGGCTGCTTTAATTTCTGCCATGTTCTTCATGGACTAGGAGGAAGGGCCCCAGGGGTCAGAAGTGAAACATGATGCCAATCTGGGCACCTTTCTGTAAGCCCAGTGGGGCCCAGCAGGGCTGGCTGAGGTCCCAGGCAGGAGGAGGCCATCTAGCTGACCAGCACAGAGTATGTGGGTGGCCTGTTCTATAGACAGGACCCTGCTGACTCCAGCAGAGCTGAGAAGGCCAAGTCAGAGACCTCTCTCCTCAGGACTCTTCCTATATAATGAGGAGTATTTGCTCAGTGGAATCATGGGGCTTCTGGAGTTGTGGTGAAGCCTCTGGGGGAAGCCAGCTCAGACCCAGGTCTTTCCCCTTACGTCAATCATGTATCAGGTCCTCCAGTGAGATGGAGACTGGGAGGATGCAGTCTTCAGGGCCTCAGAGCAGGGGTCATTTCTAGGAAGAGAAGGAAGGAGCAATGACCAGGTTTGATCCCTGGAAGGATCAGCTGACCAGCCTGGAATGGGTCCTGTGGAGAAACTCCCTCACTAGAAGGCCATCAAAGCAGGAAGCTTGTCATGGAAGATCTTGTGGTGATTCTGCACTGGTCAGCCAGCCAGTCAGTTAGCTATCATAATGGAGCCACAGGTGAAAATAAAAGGATCTGAGACCCAAAAGGGGGCTTCTGGCTCAGAACCCATTCCCCTGGGTCTGTCTCATGTCCCCCTGGGTCTGTCTTGTGTCCACGCAGACATGTCCCTCTTTCCAGCCAACACAGCAGCAGCACCCTGAGGGGCTTGCAGCGGCCACACCACTCATTGTCCCCATCCTGCTGCCCCATCATTTGCCAACAGTGCCAGAAATATCGTGTGTTTGTGTTGGTCAGAATTCAGCCCTTTAGGTAGCCCCTGGGCACAACCGTGTATGCCTCAGGGTCAGGGTCAGGACCTGAAGTTGTGTTTGCTCCTGACATCCAGCCTCAGGCCTCTGGGACAGGGCACTGGGCTGTGATCCTGCTCTCTCAGTGCTCAGCTGTGTGACCTTGGACCATCCACTTCTCAGAGAGCTTCAGTAACCCATCTGTGAAATAAAGTTCTCTCCATGCTGGATATTAGTGAAGCTTCCACCGGTGTCTGACCTGGGCTGGGAAGAAATACACTGCAGAACCCATGTCTGCACAGAGCCAGCTTCCTTTACATGCTGGGGCTAACAGGTGGAGCAGAGTCCATGGCATCACGCTGAAAAAGCTCTAGACACTGAACCCCACAAGGGGCAGGTATGGGCCCAGCTTTCCAGCAGTCAGTTGGGAATATGAATTTAAAGCTAGTTTACAATCCATGGACAAGGAACTGAGAGGCATGACAGGCCTGGGGAATGCCCTCCTAAGCCTTCCCATGGCCCTGCATTTCTCTTTGCCATTCTGAGAATAGATGTTCTGGCCCAGGGAGTCCAGCCAGAACCCCTCCACTCTGCCAGCAAGCTCTAGATGCCAGCCTGGTACAACTCCCTCTAGAAACTTAGGCTTGAGGGAAGATTCCTCAGGGTTCCCTTGGAAGGGTTATTTATTTATTTAATTTTATTTATTGAGAGGCAGCATAGTACAGTGCAAGAATTCTGGGTAGTTCAAGAGCCCGGAAGTTCCAGTTCAGACTCCACTGCTTCTAGTTGTGAGACCTTGGGAAAGTCACTTGTCCTCATCTGTTTACTCATCTGTAAAACCGGAGAGCAACACCTGACTTGTTTCATCCCTAGGGGTGTGAGGTTCCCCTGAGTTTCATCCCTAGGGGTGTGAGGTTCCCCTGACAAAGTGGATGTGAATATGCCTTGAACACAAAACTCTGTAAATGAGCAATGCATTTTTAATGCCAATAGATTGTTAGGACCCAAGGAATCATGTGAAATCAGTCTGATTTCGGATGACATAGTACCTGGTGGAGGAATAAAGTTGTTGATAATTGGATATGATAATGAATAAAATGTGTGATGTCACCCTAAGAACTGAGGACTCAGGCTCAAGTCAGACAGACTCAGGTACAAAGTCCTAATGCCAACATTTATTGTCTATGACCTTGGGCACATTACTGATCCTTTTTAAATTCCAGTTTCATCATCTATTAACTGGGAATAATAATTCCTCATGGGGATGTCATTCAGTTTAAATGAGATCACATGTAAAGGGTTTCACAGTGTGCCAGGCACATGGTAGTCTGTGCATAAGTAGCTCTCATTCACTTTTAAACTGAAAAGAAAATGGACAAGTTTTCTTGGAAACCAGTGAAAATGAAAGATAATGAAAATATATGTAGTGAAAGCATGTATAATAATGGAATGGAATGTAAAAAGCATGTAAGGTAATGAAAGAGATTATGAAAATGCATGCAAATGAAAGTATACAGGGGGTTCTTTCATAAAATGGAAAGAAAAAAGTAGAAAGTTTAACAGTATTTGGGGTGTAAATTCTGACTACTTGGAAAGGAGACCCTGGAAGCCCTTCCCTTCCAGGAAGACAGCAAACCAGACCTCCCTGGAGCCCTGCTACCTGCTCCCATGGACCTGGAGGTACATCTATGGCTGTTTCTTCTAAGTGGGAGTGATCTGCATTCTTTTTTTTAAATTTTTTTTATTGATTATTCTGTTACAGTTGTTCTATTCCCCCTTTCATTCCCCTCTACCCTACCCCCCATCCCCACCATTACCCCCCCTTTAGTTTATGACCATGTGTCTCAAGTCCTTTAGATTCTATATTTCCCATGCTATTCTTGCCCCCCCCATTTATTTTCTACCTACTGTCTATGCTACTTATTTTCTGTACCTTCTCCCCCCCTTCTCCTTCTCCCACTCCCCTGTTGCTAACCCTCCATGTGATCTTCATTTCTATGGTTTTGCTCCTGATCTAGCTGTCCTCTTAGTTTGCTTTTGTTTTAGGTATGGTTGTTAATAACTGTGAGTTTGTTGTCCTTTCACTGTTCATGTTTCTTTAACTTCTTTTTCTTAGATAAATCCCTTTAACATTTCATATAATAAGGGCTTGGTGATGATGAACTCCTTGAATTTGATCTTATCTGAGAAGCACTTTATCTGTCCTTCCATTCTAAATGAAAGTTTTGCTGGATAGAGCAATCTTGGTTGTAGGTCTTTGGATTTCATGACTTGGAATACCTCTTTCCAGCCCCTTCTTGCCTGTAAGGTCTCTTTTGAGAAATCTGCTGACAGTCTGATGGGGACTCCTTTGTAGGTGACTGTCCCCTTAGCTCTTGCTGCTTCTAGGATTCTCTCCTTCATTTTAATCTTGGCTAATGTAATTATGATGTGCCTTGGTGTGTTCCTTCTTGGGTCCAACTTCTTTGGGACTCTCTGAGCTTCCTGGATTTTCTGGAAGTCTATTGTGTTTGCCAGATTGGGGAAATTCTCCTTTATTATTTGTTCAAATTAGTTTTCCACTGGTGGCTGTGCCTTTCCCCCTTCTGGTACCTCTATAATTTGGATGTTGGAGCGTTTAAAGATGTCCTGGAGGTTCCTAAGACTCTCCTCATTTCTTTGAATTCTTGCTTCTTGACTCTTTTCTGTTTGGCCATTATTTGCTTTCTTCTGGTCCACTCCATTGATTTGAGTCCCAGTTTCCTTTTCATTGCTATTGGTGTCCTGTGCAATTCCATTCATTTCAATTAGTTTCGCCTTCATATATTTGTCTAATTTGTGGCTATAATCAAGCAGTTCTGTGAGGATCCTGATCACCAGTGTTTTAAACTGTGCGTCTGAGAGTATTGCTATTTCTTCATCGCTTAGATCTATGGGCGCTGGTGCTTTGAGATCTTCTTGCGACATTTTTGGTCTGTTCGCGCCCTTTAAATGTGAGAAGCAGCGCCTTGGACTCCCAGGTCGCTGGGTTGTGACGCTGTATGTGGGGGCGTGGTCAGAGCGGGGAAATGGCGACCCCGTCTGCTGTTTCAGACAGCTGGGTGAGGAGCAGCGCCTTACGTGGTTCATCTGAGCAGGGCCACTCAGAGTCGCTGGGTTATGATGCTGTATGTGGAGGTGGGGTCAGAGCAGGGAAATGGCGGTGCCCTCCACTGCCGCCAGCAGCGGGGACCCGGCGGGCCCCGGTCCAACTGCCCACTCCCTTGCCTGTCTACCCGCGCACAAATGTATGACCGCTGTCTCCCCCGCGGTGGCTCACCTGGTCGCTCGCTCGGTCGCTCACTAGGTCCAACCCTGCGCCTGGATTCCAGGCGCCTGAGTCTGTCTGACCGAGTTTTCCTGTGCAACCCCGCTTCACCAGCCGCTGGTTTCACCCCTTACTGGTCAGGCTGAAGAATTTGTTGTTAATGGACTTCCGAAAAGTTCAATTTTCCGTGTTCTGGCTGTGTTTTCTCTGTTGCTAATATTTAGTTGTCTCTAAACTTGGTTGTGTGAGAAGGCACGGCACATCCACCTATGCCTCCATCTTGGCGGAAGTCTGCATTCTCTTCTAAAAAGCCTGCTCCTTCCACGAAAAGCCACAGGTGTGTGGGTTTGAATCTCTCCCCATGCTCAGCCCAGGGGGTGGAGCAAACCCAGGGCTGGTGGCCTGAGTCTCTGGTACACTTTGCCCTTTGTCCCAGCCTAGATCCTTGAGGAGGTGACTGAGGACATCTTGTCTCATCCCCTGAATCATCTCCAATGATGCCTCTCCCCCTTTCACTCTAAGAAAGTAACAAGTTGTGGGGACGTCTCACATTCAGAGAACTTGACTAATATCACACCATTTGGAACCTACTCAGACTTTTGCCCCCAGAGACCTCCTTGCCAAATTGGTAAAAGGTGTGGATCACTTTCTCCCGGAAATGAGTGTTGGAGATGTCTTCAGCTCCAAGGAAAAAGTCTGTGAGATAGGTTGGGTGAAGGCTAGCTGAGGTGTAAAGACTGAGAATGAGGCATCAAGTTCAGGGAAAGCAGTGCAGCTGGAAGGATAGGAGTGTCCAAAGCCATGAGCTCTGGCGGCAGGGCATGCCTGCTCCCCTCTGGCAGCACGAGAGTAGTTTGTGCCAGGTCTCCTCCACTTTCCAGCTGCTCTCAGACTGCCTGGCACAGCCCTGGTGACCAGAGAAACTGAGCAAGTTCTTCCAAACAGCAGCCAGTGAGATACTTCTAGGCTTCTCAGGAATTTGGATTGAAGTCCCCAACAGAAGGCCCCATTGATTATTAAACTGAGTAAACTCCTCCAGGGGCTTTTCCAGGCAGTGGGGGGGGGGGAATGTGTGATTCTGTGCTTTTATGAGCTAACGGAACTTCCTCTTAGTAAAGAGAGAGGAAATGGACCAACGTTGACTGAAGAGGAAATTCTATTGAACTGTGTTTTCCAAATTTTGTAAATTGCTATAGTCAGAGTCTGTCCTATCTTCCCCAAAAGATCTCTATCCCTCCTCACCCACCCCCAGTGCACACACTATCATAGAATACACGAAATCTCTGGGAATGGTGGGTCATATCACGGAGCCCATGCTACACTGCCAGTGGAATTTCTGTGAGCCCCACATGTGAACCACAGAGAAAAGGGCCCTGTGGGCCGTGCCTGCCTAGGGCAACACCCTGGTAACTGAATGAGGCAAGTTTAAGCAGTTAGGGCTGATTTTATCAAGCCCCAACCTAGAGGACACTGAGTAGTAGGAGGCATGACTCATCTGTTTCCTGTCATGATCATGAGTCTGGGTTTCTTTTAACACATATCCACAATTTAAAATTAAATGAGTTTTTTTAAAAATCCCACAGCAACTTTCCTCACTAAAAGCTTGGTCTTTACTTCACCTGGCTCCCATAAACATTCAAAAAGGGTGGAGGGACCCAAAAAACACTGACCAAGAAGAGTGGGGTCAGGTGAAATTAGTGTTTTAAAAAGATGAACTTCGGCCTTGGTTAGTGTGTCTCAGTGGATTGTGGGCCAGCCTATGAACCACAGGATCACCTGTTCGATTCCCAGTTAGGGTACATGCCTGGGTTACAGTCCCATGTCCCCAGCGGGGAGCACATGAAATGCGACCACACAATGATGTTTCTCTCCCTCTCTCCCTCCTTTCCCCTCTCTCTAAAAATGAAAAAAAAAATTAAAGGTAAACTTGGCATAAGTTAGATGCAGAG